TTTGATATCGATAGAACCAGGTCGACTTCCACTAAACCGTCCCGACGAACTTCTGGGGTCGAGGAACGCGGATTTAACCCTTTGTGAAGAAAAATTCCCTGGACGTGAAGGAAAAAATGCTTCTTCTATAAAATTTTGTTAACTAGAAGTTGAGAAAGATTAATTCTCGGCAATTAATATTAGGGTATGCACGAAATGAAATTTGTATACTATATCAATTTATTTTTTAACAATTTTGACGATATTAAATCATTTTCGTTTCACTGAATATTAAATTAATTTTCTTTTATACTTTAATTGACATTATATATTATATACATACTAATTCATTAATATTATGTTTATTTGTATTTAGTATAACTGAACAAATGAATCTAAGACCTTGAATCCAAAAAACCAAAAACGTTAAAAAGTACTGAACAATAGCAATAAGTAAACAATAAATATTAAATATGATACTATTCGTCTACAGTGTAATTCGGAAACGAATGTTGCAATTATATAACAAACATTTCTCGAGAAATTAAATTTTTTGAAATGCTGTAGCACGATCCGAACTTACGAGCAACGGTATATATGCAGGTTGATTTAATTCCAGAACGTTTCCGCGGTCGTTTCACACTGACCATGCGGTTTAACGAGGTCTGTGAATTAAAATCGTCGCGAATGGAATCGCATAAAATTCAATTTCCATCGCGACGGCCGCAAGGAACCAAATTGATTTCTCCTCGTCGCATCGCTGCACCCCCGATATTAAAACGATCGAACGTACAGAGGCGCCGAGAAACACGCGAGACGAAATCTATACGTCCAATACGAACGTACAATTTTACGGAATTCCTGGCGCATTCTAAGGCGATTCTATTAATCTCAATTCAGCATAGAGGAAACGGAAGCAGTTAAAGGAGACAACATCGAGGGTATCGAACTCTAATTGCTGTTGCAGTAAAATCGTTTACTTGCTCTCGAAAAGTAACTCTGTATCAAATAATTACTTGACTGCAACGTTTTACTATTTTCAAGTCTGCGACTTTATTTATTGTCAACAAACTGCATATCTATGCGTAAATTCAACGTTTTAAAAATAGAATCGGAAGAATAAACTTGCTGCCGAAAATGGTTTTCAACAAATATTTTGGAAGGTACCACACTTTGGATATTTTATGTATGTTTTCGTATTGCATGCATTCCATACAAGTTTGCATTCTCAGATTTCCCATAAATTGCAAATATATTTTCTTTGTGATAAAGAAATATTCATAAGCGAAAAGTATACATATTTATTAGGTTTTGTTCGAAGTCTTCGCCGTGAATCTGTCTCGCCGTTATAAGGTAAAAGGTTAATGTGATACTGTACAAAAAGTATAATTCTCTTTCGAAGACACGTACTTCACACTTTACAAAAATGCCTGGGAAAAATTCTATTTTTCTTGAGTATATTGAGTTTTATGAAGTAGTGTATTATTATCTATGTAAGAATTAATTTTCTTATGTTATTTATGGAAATGATATTTCTTAATTACAGCCCGACATTAATTGACACACTTGGTTTCTGCGTCCGTCCATTACTCACTCTTTCTACTGATAACAGTCAACTATAATCAACCACGATCTACTTACTTATTCGTTATTAACTAAAGTTTCATATCAAGATTTGATGACTAAATAAAGTATATATTGAATAATTGATATAGCACCCAAGAGCATGCTAAACGAATTTTCAAATACATGTTTCGTAGAAATAAAAGAACGCTATTGTAACTTATCAATTTTAACAATTGTAATCACTTTTCCTTGGTTCTACATATTACCAACTTCGAAATATTCTTTGTCGGAAAGAATCTATAGAACACTAAAGGTAAAACGGAATTATTGTGCATGTATAAAAAAGTTCTTTCGACTTGAAGTTTGAAAAAGAGATAACTAAGTTTATGATATGGAGAAAGTTTCTCACAATAACGCAGAATTTCATCGTGCAGTATGTTCTGAGCTGACGTGTCGATACGGAAATCGGTAGCGCCGCTGATCGCATAATCGGCAAATGTCAAAGGTGAAACAGCACGTGCATTGTAATGCAATCGCACAATAGTGCGAAACGCACTTAAACCCATTGAAATACGCCATAAAGGCTGAGCGTGTGCTGTCGACGCGTTCGACTGACTGAAATTGCTTTAATCCATTTAAGAATTCAAAAGTGGCATTTTGATCGCTGATAAAATATTATGGAGCAATAATTGAAAGTACTCAAATAAATAATTCTCACGAATTACTTTCAAAAAAGCATCAAACACTATTTTTATCTCTAATATACATATCTATATATATAATTCTATAAAAAAGAAAAATTTTAAATGATCCGAAAGACAAGAATCTTAAATTTATTTTCGCTTGAATGTTTAATTTGTATAGTACGTACTGTACCGGACGCATGAAAATAATGTTTTATATTATTATGAATAAATATGTGAAACAAATGTATAATATTTCATATCTTTTCATGAACGTTTTTAAAATTAAAACTAGGCTCCACATTCATTCTTTGTTCTTATTGATAAGACATAGTATTTGTTTATATGACTTTGGTGTAAGTATTTTCGGCTCGCCCGTTAGCTTACTGAGATACTGTTTTACACGATCCCGTTTTCCCAAGAAAAAGAAGACTCGTGGAGCCTGCTTACCATATCGCCGCGTGACCGTGCACTGTGAATGTACACAGCGGTTAAAAATGCATTTATACTTTGCTCTCGCGGTATAATTTTGTTAAGCTAATCAGCCGCGAAATCGGTTTAAGCCGATATCCATCTAACGTTGATAAATTATTCTCGGTCGCTTAACAACTCGGTGCTAATGAACGTCGTCCGATGATACATCGTCGATTAGTTGGCCCGTTCGACGCGAAGGCGAAGGGAACATGTTATATTGGATGGAAGAAAAGACGAAAAGAAACCTGCAAAAGCAACACGTTCGATCGAATACTGATCGCAATGAAGACCTCATTCGGCTTCCCTCGGATTCCGTTTATAATTTAGTCCGTTGCCTGCCAAACAAAATGCCCAGTCTGTTCCAATTCTGCCGCCTGTGATAAATTTTCAAAGAAACTTGTGTCCTCATGAATGCTATTATCGATATTTCTCTGGTTTATCGACTGTTTCTTGAAATCTTGCAAAAACTGAAAAACAGGCCTTCATTCATCGATCGTTCCGTGATTCCTTTTTTATTTGGTGAATTAATAAGACATGTTAACTCATTTGCCTAATCATAGATAAAATTATATATTATTTTGCAATGTTATACTATAATAAAGATATTTCGAATCTGTAACAGAGACTTTAAATAAATATATACTTTAATAATTGTAATTCTATCATTTTCCTATACCCATGCAGATTAACTTGATACACTATGCAAATGTTTAAACATTCCACCAACACTTTTTAAATTATAAAATGCAGGTATTTTCCTGATTCCATAAGCGATCTCAAACTTTTGATCGAAACTGCAAACTTTCTTCCTTTCTTTCCTGTTTTTCATCCGACATCTGCTATACTCAATAGAGGTGGCATTACTACGGTTCTCAACTAAATGTTACGCTTTCACTGTAATATACATACTAAACACTGTCACATACAATAGCAATGATACCAACATTTGAAAATAAAATGATTATGCTCTCCATTAAAAAATTCCAATTCTCTTTCTCATCAAATAAATAATTTCAAACTTTCGAATAATAAGAAAGTAAGTTCACAAAGTTATTAAATTTTATGTTTTTATGACAAATATATCAAACTCTGCAACACGTAGCCATAAATAATAGTGACATGTAAAAATAAAACCATTATTTCCACCTTCAAAACATCCCACTTTTTTTATCACATGAATGATCCTAAACTTTCGAACAAAAAATATTTTTTATCAAATTTGATGTTCCTACAGTTATTAATTACTTATAAACCAAACCCTGCGTACTAATAATAGCTGCGTTGTTTCAAAATAAAATTCTTATCAATCACATTAACACCAACACTGTGTTTATCGATAGCATTGGTAACCCTCTTTGCGGTTGCCGTATCGCGACGTATCACAAGCCATTGTTAACTGACTGTTCATTATTCGAACATAATTAAATTGTCGATCCTGCCGGCGTGGCCTACGTCGCGTCGTCAACGAGAGGGAACGATTCTTGAAAAGTGTCCCCGCGTACGGCTATTCCGATCCCACGTCCTCGTCTCATCGTTAACGTCACGGCGGAAACGATAAACGTCCCCAGAAAGCGATCAAGGTACTTATCCGATCAATACTCGTCCGGGAGCAGCTAATTTCGAGGCGCGTACGACGAAATTCAAGGTTACCTGGAGCGCTCCGCATACAAATGTACCGGATTTCAACGCGTAACCAGCTCGAATTACAAATAATTACTACCCAAATCACTTCCTACAATGCTAAATCAGCAAATCGAAAGCCTGACAATAAAAAGAAACGTAATTCATCTAGAAACGTAAAATCAATCCTTGTCAAATCTTCACACCCCGAGAATGCGGCCAGTGACCAACCATCCCCAAACAATCCCCATTAAATCCCACATTACCCTACATCAGTCTCCGCACTGTTACAAGGTCACCCGTCGACCAGAGAATCTCCGCCCACGCTCCACCCTACCGCACCCCCAAATCCAGCGCCAGGCAGTCGACTCGGGAGAGCTCTAATCTCGAGGGCAACCCCTCCAGAGTAGAACCCTCTAGTGAATGACTAGCCAAGAGAATACCCTATCTCTTTACTACACTCCCATATGACCTAAAACTCCTACTACCAATCAAGCCTGAAATGAGCAACTACGAGACTCCTACCATCTTCTACACCCAGCATCTTCAAGATGCACATTGTTCCCAGAACTTTAGGGTGCACCCTGCAGCTCACAAAGTTACACGTCGTACTTAGCCATCATAGACGACGGTGGCTAAGGAAGACACATAGGAGAAGGAGGTCTGTCGGGTACTCACCTTGACGAAATGCAGGTTCTCCTTGTCGAGGAGGAACTCCATGGATTTGTGTGGCCGTTGATTGATGGTGGACGAGGCGCCGTCGTCTTGGGGGCTCCTATGCGAAGCGCCGACGGGCGACTGGGGTACGTGGAGGGCGTGCTCTGGCCTGGGCCGCGGGGCGGTCGAGGTGTGATTCAGATTGAGCAGGCTCCTGGTCTTCTTACCGGCGGCGGCTGCGGCGGAGGCGACGGCGGAGTTCGCTGAGGCGGTGGTCGTCGTCGACGGCACGGCCTCGTCGAGGTCGGTCTCGAGCAGGCCGACCGGACGCTCCTGGGCGGCCTGCATCGTGCGGGCTCTCGCCATCTCGATGGCCGCCGGATTCCCAAGGTCCGTAGCCGCGCGTCGGCGCGACGAAGACGCCGACGACGACGCGCCCGTCGACGGTCTCGAGCTCAGCGCCCCGACGCGGGGCGGCTGCGGAGGCAGGGGCGGCTTGCTGGACACTGGCGCCCTCCCGTTCGCGCTGCGAAAACCAGACGGATTTTCCGCGTTAGTATCACGGTGTCTTATCGGGACGCGAGGGCCGCGTGTCACGGGCTTCCTGCGGCAGCCGCTGATCGTCACTAGGGGGTGGGATCGGGAACGACGCGTGCCGGAGCCGGGGTAGAACTGATCAGGTAACTAGGTTCGGTAAAAAAGGTTCGGTGATTTTTCCGGTACCATTCGAGTGAGTCTAGTGAAAAAATTGGTGGCTGATGAGCATACGAGATCCTCGATGAGCAAGGGAGATAGAGTAGGATTCCGATTACGTGTACAATTGGGGGATAAAGATGATTGCGTAACTGGATTGGATGATAGGAGTTTGCGAATTATATTTAAATCATTTAGATAAAATAGAAGACGATAATGAGAATATAAAATTGAGATCGATGTCCATGAGAGCTATGGTAGAATTTCGGTTATCCGAATGTTTCGAGAGTAAGAGTATAATGATAGGGTCGTTTGAACAGTGAGAGTTTGGTAATTATAACTATTGAAGTCAGTTTAGTGGACAGCCGAAAGACAGTAGCGGTTATCTGAAGGTTTTAGGGGTGACACTAGTGAGGTAATTGGTTCGTTAAGGTAGAAAAAGTTTTGCATTTTCTTACAGTACTTGGTGATTTCTAAGATTTTTGAAGTTATGGAAAGCTTTTGGAGAACATAGAAATTATTGAAGTCATGAAATTAATAACAAAAATATACGCAAACATATCTTTTGATGAAAGGTGTAAATTACAAAATTCATAAAGGAAGTGAGAAAATTTGAACTAATGATAGGTATCGTGTTTGTGACAAATTCGTGGAATGCTAGCGTGTGAATATCGGTTGAGAACCACGCTCTGTTATTTAACGGTTTGCATAATAGATGTCATGGCGTAAGTAAAACGAGTCGTAATAGTAAAAACAAATGCTTTTAAATAAAACATGCTATGTTGCGTGCGAAGATAATCTTAAACAACAGTTGAATGTTGTTAAGTTCTTTTTTAATTTACTCTTTAGTGTTCTTTATTTTTGCTCGTTATTATTAGCAGAAAAAGATTTAGATAAGGCCACTATCTTGCATGAAAAGCATTTAACGTGGAAAATAAACATACTCGTGTAAATACTCGATAAACACCGTGTTTTTATATAATTTTTAATTGCATTAGCAATTGAAACACATTCTATGAATCAATTTGCTGAGTTAAACACTGTTGGAAACAGTAGCCAGCATTAATTAATACATTTACAGATTCTTCTTATCTATCTATTAAGTCTGCTGGTTTTTTATTAATTAAAATACAAATCTTTCACAAATATACCTCTCCTATTATACATAGAAAACAAGAAAATGCTATTTTTACTTCTACATTAAATTCAACTGAATGCTACACTGAACTCCACTACACTACATTGAAAGTAACTCAGTATATCTAGGATTGTATAGATGTTTCACATTTTTCTATAATGCGAAGGTAGAGAAAGTAGAATAGGGCAAGATTCAATGAAAGACGTGAAGATCATAGTGTTGTAGGGTTCGGAGGCTACGAATGACGTGCGAAGTTGAAGAAAATATTGATAGTGATAAAACACTTGAGATTAGAATCGACTCTACTATATCCCAGTTAGTTTATTACTTTCTTTACCAAAGAATTTAACTCTATTTGCGTCTATATTTTGCATACGAGCCTCTAATCAGTTTGATTTATTACTCTCTTCAACAGAAATGAATTTCAAAGATAAGGTTACTCTAATCGCATGATAATTAAGTTATCAGATTAAGTCTCTTCTTCAGAAAAAGGATAACATGGACAGATAGACAGACTGCGAAATTATATAAAATACAATATAATACTTGCATTGTTTCCATATGAAATACATTAATCTCCATTTATTTCTAAATTTTACTATAATCAACTGATCTTATACGTCTATGTGTTTGCCTCACTCTTCGAAAAATCAGAAAATCAGAATATTCTTTATCATCAATATTATTAAATTCCCACAAATTTTATAATTAATCAGAGTCATTTACTTTTTCGGAACAAGAACAATTAATTCAAAATAAATATAATATTTATTAGTCCTTAATTGAAACATTCAAATCTTCCAAAAAGACAAGCAAAATGTATGAAAAGAAAAGTTTCCTTGAAATTCTCGAACAAATATTGCATATTACGTTTATAATTACATTATTACTATTGTCGTACTAATAATGCAAACAACTTTTTTCTCTTTCCTCGTCTGAAATAACCAGTTCGCAAAAAGAAAAACGAAAGAAAAATCGCCCGATGAACTCGCGATGTAACATCGCGCATGATAAAGGCGAAAGTATAATAGACTAATTACACCTACGCCCACCTTAATACTTTAATCCTCGATCGTTAACTAAACTATTCCACGTTCGGTGCAATGACTCTCCAAGTTAAATCCCGTATAAGTCACGGGCGTTTCATCTCCGAGTAGAATTAAGCGATTATCACCGGCAATCTGGCAGCCGGGGAAGACAAAGGGTGGACTAATTCCTCGAACGAAGAAAAGAGGAGGGAATATATCGCAGCGGAATCCAACAGTTCGTGCGGCCTGTCCAGCGTTAATTTAATTCAATCCAATTAAAGTGAAACGGGTTTCTTGCGTTCCTCGCGGTTTTCCAGAGAGGCGTGACGCGAAATCATTGGCAAAAAGTTAATTGCCGGTATGGGGATAGTCATGCCGAACCGACGCTATCGTCTCGTTCGTACACGGAGTGCATCGTTGGATCGGAGTTGGGAATGGTTCTCCATAGTCGGACAACTGCCCGAATGACGTATCGAAAAATTAAACGTCGATTACTGCGACCGATCGAGCGCGCGTGCATCGCTGCTCGGCCTCTGCACAGTCCGATAAGTTTAACGCCCTGTTCTACTATCGCAATAATAATAACACCGGTAATAATATGTTTGTTAAGTGCGTAACGCTCTTTGATCAATTGAACGCGAGCGTAAACGAGATATAATCGTAAAAGTGAAAAGAAATCAAAAGTGGGCTTATAAGAAAGTAGTGTGTTCATCTGGATAACTGCCGACTAAGTAATAATTGGAAATAATGCGCAGAGAAAGTGTCCCGTTTTTAATCCGGAAAGGATCATTATTTTGTTTTCTACGATATTTCCAGTGTCCAAAGACAAATAAAATATTGTTATGATTTGTTATAAAATTGAAATGTTGGTCCTCATATATATACTTATAGCAAACCTGTTAAGAAACGCTAAGTTTTCTGTTATGGTTGTTTTTTAACTATACAATTTCAATTAAAGGAAAATAATATTAATTTGGAGCAATTTATATCACAATGTAGAAGACTATAATATTCCCCATACATTCCAACCGATTTAACGAATACATTAAAATACAATAAAAGGCACCGTTAAAATTTGATCTTTATCAAATATTAATTATCGCTTCCCGGGGAACTCCCTGAACCTCCAACTCAGCGGTTAAGGGTTAATCATGGAATACCCTGTGCATAGCTGTTACTGTCTATTCGCCACGTAACACTTTCTCGGCTGGTTTGTTTGTTCCCGTTGGCTTTGAACTTCAGCCAGCCATGCACGAAGAGATTCTTGAACGTCGGAGGCGGTTCTGGCGGCGGGAGCTTCTCGCCGTGGTGAATTCGTAGCAGCTTTCACGCGATCTGATCATCAATCACGTGGCTCCCGTTACGCGGCGAAGAAAACGCGGAAGCGCGTCCTGCAATACACACTCCCCTTCGTCCTGCAGCCGCTCGTTTGCCCCGCGTTCCGAACATCTAAATAATCGCAGACCATACTGCCAGACGGCAGGAAAGATTACCGCGACCACCGACCGTTCCTCTATGATTAAACGATCCGTCGGACGAATACCAATGACACGATCGATAAAATCAAAGATCTTCACGTTCTTTAATTTTCAGGTGCCTCGCGCGTTATGTTTCACGCGGAAAATTGCAGCGGATTCCTGTGCAACACGTTGGAAAAAAAATTGTAACAGTCGGTTCGTGTAATGTACGATGGGAATTGGTATCGTTTCAGATATACCGGGATCTTGTGGGATTAAGTAGACACTTTGCTATGGTTTTTGCACCTGAGAGTAGTGCTAGGAAATTACTTGATGACTAGGCTAAAGAATTTAACTGATTGATTAATTTTCATTTCTTCTCATCCAATTTCATCTTGGTCTTATTTCCTGATTTCTGATTTTTTCAATCTCCAATTTACTATTCGTTAATACGTTTACACGTAACCAATTAAAACAATGAAAGTGTAAACTAGAAAGACACCTCTTGCCATTGTGCAGTTACTCTAGACATCGAGTCATCTTTAAATTATAAGGATGAAATGTTGTGCGACAAATGATATATAGAAGCTTTGCTAGAAAAGATAATTCTAGCAAATAAAGAAAAAAAATATTTAACAAATTTTATAGATTATAATTTCAAATACTTTACAAATTGTAATTTAAAATTTTTATATTTCATAGATTGCAGTATTAGATTTAAACAGCTTGTCGATCTTTTCACCCAGTTACAACACTTTGTAACACTGAATTTCTTGTAGATTAATTTCATCGTATGTAACGCTAATACGTTAAAAATTAATTTCTTAAGAAACGATATTATTGTACGGTTTTACGTTATACGTTTGCGTTCTAATTAATGTAAAGTGTTTGAAATAGTTTCGTTGGACGTATATACGCATAAATATAAATGTTTCGCGACGTTTAATTGTAAGTCGATGAAGCGTGATAATGAACTCCTGACGCGGCGAGGAACGACACCGGACTGATAAGGAAGCGAATGAATGTCGAAAGTTTCGCAGAGCTCGACGCTCAAATTTCTGTTTCTATTTTGGTACGGAAGTTTTGATATTGCGTTCATAGTGTCCCACTTTATGTGCTGAGTTGGTCAATCCTTCGAAGATAGAGAAACTTGCGTTTTCTTTTTCAAGTATACTGGCACAGGTCCACAAAATTTGCAATACGTTCATAA